GAGATATAAAACTAACTGCTTATCAGAGGAGTCTTTAAACTTGCAAAAAGAGGACTAACTAAAGATTTCCCAAACTCAGTATAAAAATTACAAGAAGCAAAGCATGACATAAAAATTCAGGAGCTTTTGTTCTACACAGCAGAGTCTTTCTGTAAAGTACTGAGTTCGGAGGCGTTGAGTAGTGATCAGCTCATAGTTTATTAGTGATTCAGCAAGAGAAAGAAGACAAACTGGCGAGGTTCGAGCCCCACTTATATCCCTGCAGTACCCCACACCCAACACACACCACAACACCAGTGCTAGGCTATTTACAGTGGAGGAGTCCATCATAGGTCTCCTCTAGAATCTGGGCACTCCAATTGGTCTGCCCGAGGATCCGATTCCTCTATTGTTCTAGCACCTGAAGGTGTGCTAGACCACACGGCCTTGCTAGCGCTGATGTAATTATCTCAGTATACAACACTTTCCTGATGGGGAGTTCTCACGAAACTGCTGTAAAGGACTGCTGAAGGCAAAACATTAAATGTTGTGGAGATTTGAAGTGCAAGAAATAAGCAGCTGGAGCCGCATAATTGGGTGATGGGGAAATTACAGTTTTAACTGGGTTCAGAGAAGGGGTCCAAATCACTACTAACAACTGGAGTAGAAAGTCTTTTATTTTTTGATCATTTACAGATTTACAGATGAAAGTACAGGCATATACAGAAAAACTGATCTAGTAGAACGTTTACACCAATTACACAATAATAACTCAATACTGCACCAAATGTAAACCAATAGAAAAGTGATCTATACTTCCTTCTTAAGAATATTTCTACCATATCTATTGTACGCTCCAAGTGCATCATGAACTGCTGAGTACTATCGTTTAAGACAACAGGATATCAGGGGTGTCAAACTTAAGGTCCGCAGGTTGGAAACGGCCTGCCCATGGCTTTAATCAAGTATGCAGCTCTTTTCTTCCCCCCTCCTGTCCTCCCCCTTTGAAGCTTGAGGCTGCTGAAGTTCCCAGCTCCCTCTATCTTGTCTTTCCTTTGCCTGCTTGAGCAGGAAGCAGGAAGCTCTTCTGGGCTTGCAAAGTTACAAAGAAAATATGGAATGGATTTTTAAATTAAGGTCTCTGCACCTAGACTATTCTGGAATTGTTTCCAGCAACAGGAACAGTGCTCTGGGACTGGAATGACAGCCCCCAGAGTAGAAGGATGGTGCCTAGCAATAGAACTTGCGTTCTGGGACCAGAATGACAGGGCGCAGAGTGGAATGATAGCCCCTGGGAGTAGCAGCAGCATTCTGGGAATGGAAATAAACTCTGGGGGCCCACATTCTAATCCCAGAACACTTCTGCTACTCCCAGGGACTGTCATTTCACTCTAGTGAGTGTCATTCCAGCCCCAGAGTAGTCTATCTGGGCCTAGAGACCTTAATGGGAAATCCATTCCACATTTTCTTTGCAACTTTGTCTGTGCTGCCATGTATTTCAATGGCGTGTGTTCAAGAAGTTTCACTTTCCAGTGATTGTATAATTGGGCTGCGGCAGCAGAGTAGGAAGTCTGCTTGGGGAAGGGGGGGCCAAGCCGGGAAGAGGTGACTAGACACACGGGCGTGAGGGTGTGTGTGTGTGCAGAGGTTGCGGGATCGGAGTCCCAGCGCCCAGGGAGCCGAAGAGCCAGGAGGGCAGCACTCACCGTGGCCTCGAAGACAGGCACTGGAGGAGAACCCTCGGCACGCGGCCCCCGCTTCTTTGCTGCCCCGTGTGATCGGCACCTCCCCCTAACCACGGGACCTCCACGGAAGCTCCACGGGAGGTCTGATCATGCAACCGCGCATTATTTTGCCCCGGGGCAAACAGCCACGCTCCCCCCCCACATTTTCTGGCCCGTGTGACCCAGGCCTAATAATTGCATTGCCAAACCCCACTATTTCCCGACCTTTCCATTTTAGGCAGGTATCTTTGAGGGAGGGAGGTTTGGGAGGTGTTAGTCATCAAAGACAAATAAACAAAATATCATAAGAGTTTTAAGCATATTTGTATTTTAAGTAAAAAATAATATCTTTAATTGTGTTTGCATCTTTCATAAAGTTTGTATCTCTGCTACCTGGCATTACATTTTATGACATGCACAGACTGGCCCCATGAAGTCCCATTTATGTCAGATCCGGCCCTTGTAACAAATGAGTTTGACACCCTGGGACATATTTTAAAGGTTAGTTTGCCCTATGAGGGCAAGGAATGTAGACTTTTGGAGACTTCCGCTAGAATCACAGATAACAGTGCTGAATCATCATTGGGTCAAATGTTCCCCTCGATTCTTTACTTACCTTTCACAGACATGGCTGCACTATGGTTCATTCACATTTCATCTTTTTTCCCCTTCACAGGCACTATGCCATACACATTTGGGGAACATGTCCTATTAGCTGAGTACAGAGTTTGTTTCTCAATATCCAACAATCTAAAAGATTGTTGAGGCAACCAATTGCTTGAAAAAGAGTCAGACAATATAATATGCACAAAAGAAAGGCATTCAGATATAGAGGCATAGCCAAAATTTCAAGATCTGAAGCCAGATTCTTGTTTCTAGGAGACTCAACCCAGTCTCTAAACATGTAGCTGCATATCCTACACCACAATGTGATGCAACAAGGAAGCTTGAATCTTCTCAAAAAGCTTATTCAATGCGCTAAACCAAGTGGGAATTCCATATAATAGCTGAGCTAAAGGCTTAGCATTAAGTACACAGATGGCTGCAGGCACATCCTGAACATAAAAGAAGCATGTCACTGAAGACATGCTGCAATTGGCCAAAGTAAGTTCATGTTTCCACTGAGTTGGCCAACTGTTGTTATACAGAAAATTTATACCCAAGTATCTGTCTAATTTGTTCTATAATATTGCCCTTGACTCTCCAGCAGAAACATCTCCAGGTCTTTGAAAAGACCATGATTTTGGTTTTTTTCAAAATCACTAGACAAGAAATTGGAGTTACAATAAGCCACAAATATGGACAATAGGTGTTTAAGACCCAATTCTTTATGGGATAATACCACAATATCATCACCATATAGCAATAGTGGGGTATGGCTTTCATGGAAGCAATAACATTGCCTTAAGCCCTAAATAAAAAGATAGGATATCCTGTCCTTATTTATAATTGAGTTTTGGTCCCACAACGTTCTATGCTTGCCAAAATCAGTTGGCTCCGTGATGTGTCATCACAAGGTGTCTCTATCCACTGACTGCATTGGCTGAGTTCTCTCCCACCCACTGCAGCCTAGGCCACTCTTCTCTGATTGGGCCAGCATTTCAAGGTCATTTGTATATGAAAGCTGATTGGACCTCACTCCATTCCGCACCTCAAACTCCCCCCCCCCGAGACAGTTGGAACTGTTAGTTGCATATGCAACCTGGTGTATTCTGAGGTAATACACACTTCCCCTTCAAAAGAAACAAACCCAATAACACAACCATGCCACACCACAAAAAAGACAGATCACATCACAAGCAAAAAACCAGAAGGAAAAAAATGATAGGAAAAGGTGCCAGCAGTCACCCCATTACTGCCACAGATATGTACCTGAGAGCGCTTCAGAGGATGGTGTGCAGGTCCCAGGTTCATGTTATAAAAGCTGCCTGAGGGATTATGGACCATTCACAGACATTCAACCTTAACATACCTCACAGGGTTGTTGTGCGGATCATACAGGGGAGAGAATGATGTCAGCTGCTTTGGTTCTCACTGCAGGAAAATACTGCCCTTTCCCTAGGCAGAAGCTGCGGGGTGGGGTGGGAAATGTAAACCTGAAGACAGACAGGCAGATAAAGATGGTTGCCTGGAAAGAACATAGGGTTGCCAACTCCAGGTTGGAAACTTCCAAGGATATTTTATGGATGAAGCCTGCTGAGGGTGGGGTCTGAGGAGAAAGAAGAGGGGGACCTCAGACAGATACAATGCCATAAACCCCACACTCCAGACAAGCTGTTGCCAATCTCCAGGTGACAGCTGGAGAGCTCTTAAAGCTCTGGTGCTAATTCAAAC